CGTGTAAGAATGTCGATCCTTCACCTCGGCCATGATAGCTTTGACTTTGATATTTGGTTGTGCTTCGATAAGGTGTTTAATAGTTCTCCCAATTTTCTTTGCTTTAAGTTGTCTGTGATCCTGGGAACGTATGGACGAGGAGCAAGTGTGGTTGGTCTCGGCTTTTCGAATCACTCAGGCACACTTTCTCTTCATATTTGCAGCCCGCAGTTGCCACGTACAGCCCTCTGCATCATTCTTGCATATGACATGTAATTGTTTACTGTCAGAATATTTTACCTTCCACTCGAAATTGCGCCTCAAGGCCTCTTCGGTAAAGGCATCCTGCACAACGTCCTTCGATGAGAACGTCATACCCACCTCCAAATTGGCCGTCGGATTATACACTGGCATAGAGAAAAAGTCGGGGGCATCATTCTGACTATGTAGAAATTGAGTTGGAACCTGTGTGTAGTATGACGTGGGTGTCTCACGAAATGTCGCCTCGTCGTCGTTATCATCAGTATCTTCCTCCACGCTCACTGATCTCAAATCTTCCTCAGTATCCTCGTCGCTTGAGTCAAATGGATAGCTCGGCCCAGAAGGATCAACATGACCACCATCACCAACATCGTCTTCTCGCTCATGTGAAGTACGCCCTGCTCGAATGGTATTCTCGATTTCAGCACACTCAGGCCCCCAAGCAGGCCATTGAACGCCATCGGCAGGTTGATCCTGTTGCGAGTATTCTTCCGACGGCACCCATCCTGTACTACTACCTCCACCGTAGTTGATTGAACTACCACCCTCTCCATAACCTCCTGTATAACCACCTCCTTCGTAGTTGCTCAAACTACCACTCCATCCGTACTCTCCTGCAAAACCATCATCATAAGAATACTGGTGAGAATGAGTTTCACCGACCGCCTCGGTCTCAACATACACCTCTGCAAGCCGCATCTCGTTATCGCTTAGAAACTGTAACATCATCGTAACCGCGTCATCATCGTTTATGACAACATCTTGGTACACAACCCCGCCAGCACTCATGTATGGATACCGGTAACTAATTTTGCCAAGTCTAGTCTGTCCGCTCGTACAAACCCTGTCTGCACAAATATCACGGAGTTCTTGAAAATTGAATCGCGACTCACTTTTCAGCATAGTGGAATCACCTTTCTCATAATCAATCCCTATGTCAGAGTTTGTCACCCTTCCATTCCACCGAATAATAAGCCGAAACTTCTTGAATTTACCCATATCTACAATTTACAATAAGTTAAACTATTAGCTTAAAGACAGTAAAATTAACCAAAACCATATTGTATGACTAATATTACTCCATCTCATAACTAACGTAACCTAAATTCAACTAACTAACAACAACATAAATTCAAAAAATAAGTACTACAATTGCTACGATAAGTAATTCATAACATAACAATATAACTACTAAAAACATCATTAGCTATAATACGAAAATTAAATCATACTATAACTACTAAAAACCCATCATTAAGATATAATACGAAAATTCAATCATACCGAAAATTCTCCACCTGTGTATTATGCTCGGTTTTGGTTGCTGAAATTTGAAGAGGGGGAAGTGGTTATGTTTTTATAATTGCTGGTGGCCTGGTATTTATAGGAAAATTTGCCTACTATTCACCGTTTTTGTCAAACACGGTGAACACCATCACCGCGTTTGTCTCAAATGGTGAACATTAGGTAGGTCTTACCTAATTTTCACCTAACAGGGGTTGAAAACGTGCCTAATACTCACCGTTTTAACCTAAAACGGTGAAGGTATTCACCGTTTTGCCCTAAAACGGTGATATCTTCACCGTTTTAATTTAAAGCGGTGATTGGTTCACCGATTTAGAGAAAAACGGTGAAATATTCAACGTGTTTGTCAAACGCGGTGATAGTCTTCACTGCGTTTGTCAAAAACGGTGAATACCAAACATGTGTAGTTTTGAAATTTTTTTTATAACTTATGTATTTTGGGATTTTTTTTTAAGAACATGTGTACAGTGGGATTTTTTTTCCAATGCCAAGCTAGCCCGGTCTGCACCGACACCTTTGCCAAATTCGGTACTGATAGAATTGTGTACACCTAATAATTCAAACAGCTTTAGGCATTAGCAGCAGCAAGGTACCGTGAAAGGCCGGGCGTTGCAACTTGCATGTGGTTCCTTGGCTTGGCTTTGCCTGACAGATTGATTAAAGTTCGTATTTGGTCACTGTGTGAGGCTGAGAGCGGAGGTCTTGTCTCCATCAAGTCCCGATCCAGAGCGCACTCACTTAAAAGTACACAGTTATGAAGAGTCACTTTCCTTATCTTATTCCCACCTCTATCTGTTCAACGACAGCTTAAAATAATCTGCAGCTGGTCAAACCAGTACTGTTCTTCAGATATGATCTGTCTCCCCTAACCCATTATTTATGCAAAACCCAATCCTTTCCAAGTAATGAAAGTAGAACTTCATTGTGGAGCTCGAACCAGATCTTTTGATCAACAGCTTATCCACTTGTTGTTCCATGGCAGATATCGTCCATAATTGCGCAGGTATCGATGTATGCTGGTGTGGGTCTGGCTGGAATTTCGTCCATCCCCTGGCTGTGATTCTGCTTTGCTTGAAAACCCACTTGAGAGTTGTTCTCTTCAAACTCTTCTCCATCTCCACTTTTTATCTCAACTTTCTTTCCTTGTATGCTTTGGCTTAAAGGAAAACGAAATCTGAATTGCTTTCCATCCTACATTCTGTGCCAACCCTTTTGCTTATATTCTTGCAGTAGGAAGGAAAGCACGTCTTTTGTTGGAATATGGGGATGCTGTAGGCGCTCGGGGCCAATCATGAAGGATCGCACTATTGATGATGGAGAGCCTTCACCTTCGCAACTTGTGGCCTTTACCTTTCATACCGTTCCATTGAAATTCTATAAATCGTGGACCAGCCAAAAAGTGAAAGCTTCCTTTCCTCCTGTCTTCCACAATAACTCGCCACCATCATCTTTTTTAATGAATCGCTATTTGTCGTCCGTCGTTTTACTATTTGCCGCCAATAGTTAGAAAAAAAAAGACGACTTTGCCCCTGCCCTATTTTAAAACCCTAACCCTATCTATCCACCCCATCCCCAACCTCCTCCCCCTCCCACCCCCACCCCCAACCTCCTGTCGACCGCCCACCTCCTCCCCCAACCTCCTGCCGCCTCCTGCAGACCGCCGCCGCCGACAACCCTTCATCCCGCCGCCCCCAACCCTTCCTCCTCCCTCCTGCCAACCCGCCGCCGACCGAGCAGAAGAGGTACCGCAGCCGACCGAGCAGAAACCGCCGCCGAAGAGGACGCCACAGCAGCCGCCGACCTCCGTCGCTCGCTCTCGCCGCCGCAAATCGAGTCTCCAGGTAACTTTTTTTTATTTTTTTGCTCGCCGCCGTCCGACACGCCGGAGAGGACGCGGTCCGCCAGGCCGGAGCAGACGCGGTCCGCCCGGTCTGGTCGGACCGGTCTGATTGTGTTTATGGTACGATTTAAATTAATATTTATTACATATATTTTAAATACAATTGTTAGTATCTTAATTAGTTTAATATTGATAGTTGAATAATTAGTATATAATTGATAATTATATAATGTGTTAGTTTATTAATTGGGTAAGTTGAAATAATTATTTAAATAACTATATATCGTAAAGTAACTATCTAGTAAAATTAATTAGATAATCAAGTTGTATGTATCATAATTAGTAATTGATAAATTATGAATATGAACAAATTGCTAATCAAATAATTTATTATAAGATATTAATAGATAATTATTGACTATGCTAATAGATAATTTATTTTAATAAATATCTAAATAATTATTGGATTAAATAAATCGTAAATAATTGTTAATTTGAAATACTTATCTTTGATGTTTTAGTTAAGTAATTGAGTAAGTTGAAATAAATTTTTAAATAACTACCTATCGTATTAAGTAAAATAACTATCTAGTTAAATTAAGTAGATAACATCAAACGAAATATTAAGTAGATAACAAATTGTATGTATCATAATTACTCTATGAAACAACAAGTAATTGCTCAACAAATAATTTATTATAATATATTAATAGAAAATTATTGTCTATGTTTAGAGATGGCGTCATCTGGTAATTCTGGAGGATCACGTAGTTCTGGAGGATCACGTAGTTCTGGAGGAGCAGGAAAGAGATTGAAAAGATTCATTGGGCGTAACATTAGCGCTAGTGTGAGAAATAAGGATCCAAATGATAGAGATGAGCCACAGCCACAGGTGACACCGTTGAGATTTAGAGTAGACGGTTTCCCTCAGTTTGATTTTCAGTTGCCTAGTATGGCTGGTAGTGGAGCTGGTCCCAGTATTGATCATCATACTTCACCGTTTGAGCCTTCAGACGAGATTGACGACGAGTCGGAGGAGTATGAGTCGGATGTTGTTGAGTATCGGATTCCACGAGTCAGTCCGATCAGAGACAGAGGTGCCCCCAGTGGATCGTCACATGTCGTTACTGGGGTTCATGCTGTTACTGGGATCTATAGAGACCATGCGGGGCGTTTCTATAGAGCTCCACGGCCTGGTGAGGGCCAGAGTGGTACTGCTGATGTGGGAGAGGTCTGGGAGCCTAGAGGACCGTGTCCTGGAGGGCCGAGCGACCCGAGTTTGCTCCGTAGCTTTCTTGGGCATGTTGCCCACCGTCTGTACACGGGAGAGGCTGATAGAGGGGTGATCACTTGCTACAACAGGAGTTCGACCCTTTGCCACGTTCTCGGCGGTTATGAGATAGCAGATGATAACGCTAGGACTACTGTAGAGACATCGGACCTTGCTCCCCTCGTTGATATCACCTTCCAGAGCAAGTTGGATCCTGCTCTCATCTCGGCATTTGTGGAGAGGTGGCAGCCGGATACCACCACCTTCCACATGCCGTTTGGAGAGATGACGATCCTCCTTCACGACGTGGCACACGTTCTTGGGCTTGCGGTTGAGGAAGAGGCGATGGTAGTGGATCCGAGGCAGTTGGAGAAGTGTGCACTGGAGACTGACATTCGAGCACTACTGGGATTAGATCGTGACGAGGATGAGTACGGGCCGCAGGTTGGCGAGGTTGCTAGTCTGTCTAGGTGGTACAGAGGATTTGGTTTGTTGGGTGTGAGAGCTTTGACTCATTTGCAGCAGTCTGGTCCGCCAGCTAGAGAGGCTCAGCGTTACCTTCTTTTGCTGCTTGGGTCCACACTGTTCGTAGATAAGAGTAAGGACCGCGTTTCTGCTGTTGTCAACTTGTTTGTGAAGAGGCCGGATATGCTAGGAGAGTATGCGTGGGGGGCAGGAGCACTTGCTTATCTGTGCAGGCAGCTTGGTATTGCCTCCTGGACGGAGGCTAAGGGAGTGGCGGGTTGTCTGACTTTACTACATTGTTGGATTTACGACCACTTTCCTACTTTGAGGCCTAGTCGGTTGGAGCGACGAGAGATGGAGCGGGGGCAGGCAGGAGCATTCAGGTGGCGCGGTACAGCACCCCGGTCGAGTAAGAAGAGGGATGCACAGATGCTGGCTTATTATCGGCAGGCGATTGATAGTTTGACCCCTCAGTCAGTTTGTTGGACTCCGTATGGTCAGCGTCCTCATCTGACGGCGAGACGTATTTTGTATCAGGGCTTGCTCAGATTTGCAGAGATAGTAGAATATTATGATCCCACTAGGTGCCTCCGACAGTTAGGCTACGTCAAGGGTGTACCGTATCGCTTGGAGCGTCCGCTTGTTGTGCGTCGACCTGCTTCCACGCTTGGATACTCTCTTAGCTACCAGTCTGTTTATGGTGACCTTCCTTCTCAAGTATGTGAATGGTGTACCACCGGATGCTGAAAGGGTTTTCTATCTAGAGTTTTCCAACATCATCCTAACCTCCCCAAGTTGGTTAGTAATGTAGCGGTGGTTTCCTTTCCATACAGTGTCCATAGATCCCCGCGAGTTGTGGAGGAAAATTTTCAAAGCGGAATGTGACGACTCAACCCTGTTTGTGCTCGTATTTCCTAGATGAAACACATTTTTGGTATGACAAACAACCCACTTTTCTCGATGTTGCCACCACACTCCCTGTATGTATTGCAACAGACGTGGTTCGTAATTGCCCCATCTTGTCCTAAAGCGGCCAAACGCGGCCAACATACCTTGCTCTGACCAAGAATAAAGCATAGGACACCAATATTGATCGTACGCCTCGTTGACCAAATCCATCTTGTCCTTCCCAAATATTTCCAAACACTTCTTCTGCACATTGGTGTTGATGTGCCAAACACATAGCAAATGCGGGGTGCGGGGGAAGACCACAGGAACCGTAACAAGTAGTCCACCTTCGTGGTCGGTGACGACAGTGGGCACGCGTGGATGGAGAAATTGTTGTATGCACTACAACAACCACAGATACGACTCTTTTGTCTCATCCTTCATGAGAGCACAACAGATGTTGAAATTCTTCCCAACTGGAGTAGCACCTACGACCTCCACCCACGGCCATTTATATGCATTGGTCTTATATTGAGTCGATAAGAATCACGTACGGCCAAGCCTTCAACATCTGGATGGAAGTTGGATGGACAAAAAAAAGATGTGTCAGCATGATGCTCTAAAACACAACACCTAACAATGGCCAAGTGTAACCAATGAAAGGGACTGCAGTATAGTGGCACAAGTAATAAATATCGAATCCACGGGTCTCTAGAGTTACTATTATTCAGCTTCAGTTCATTATCTAGCAAACTAGATTAAGGATTGATTAACTAAACTACTCGACTAACTAACTAAGTAAAACTACTAATTACAGTTTGGGAACTCACTTAGGTATGATTCCCCCTAGCTCCTCAATTAGGTCCAAGTTGTAATTCCTTTTGGTTGATTTACTGTTGATTAAACTGCGGAAGATCCGACAGTAGCTTGGAATCTCTTAAGCTGACCAAGCCCTCTCAGTCTAACTATCCGGCAGGCGACTAGTCTTCACCGGGATAGAAAGCTGAAGCAATAAGCACAGAACTCCACTACTGGAATTGGATTCCAGTACAAAGTAGTAAACTGGCTAACTCTCGTATAGCCAATCTCCTACTACCGAATGATGAGACTCTAGCAACATAATCAGATTCTATCTATCTCAGATTGCAGCAGGAATCAGGAAAAGTTGATCAGACTTCAATTGACTCAATAAACATGCATCATTCGATTATAATCAAACAATATAGCATCCAAAACTTCATACAAGAAAGATCCTAACTCATGTAACTAAGGTTCCTCAAAACCTAAGTGAAGGGAAGTTACTCCATAGAGAAGAGAGAGACTGCAGAAATCTGATCTAGATCTTCAATCTCCATCTCCAAGCTTGATTCCCGAGCTCCAATGGCGAAGAAATCCTCCAAAATAGCTCCAAGAATGTTCCCAAGTCGCTCTCTCTCTCTCTCTAGGGTTCGTCCCTTGGGTGTTTGGGATCCAAAACCCAGCTCTCCCCCTTTCCTTTTGCTGAAAATCGGGTTTTAAACAGCAATTCCCGACTCACACGGCCAGGCCACACGGCCGTGTGGCTTTCCCAGCTGCCCGTGTGAAGGCTCGGTGATTTCCACACGGCCAGGTAACATGGCCGTGTGGGTTGTGCCCGTGTGGCTTGCTCAGCCTCTGTTTAATGCTTCGTTTCTCCCTCGTCCGGACTCCGAATCAGTCGCCGTTTGATCCCAGACGCTCGTAGTCTCGTCCTCTTTCTTTTCATGACAAGCTTGCATGATTCTTTGTCCATAAAGTGAGGTAGAAATCCATTCTTCTTCAGGTCATACCCGAGTTTCTTCTCCCGAATCGTCAATTGATCTCTGATTGACTTGAAACTTGCGCCTATGCTTCACTTTATGTGCTAGGACCTGAAATGTGACAAAGGAACACAACCTAGCGTAAAATAGGCCAAAGACACGATAATTCAAGCTCAAACAATCAAGAAACAAAGGGGAAAACATGTGCAAATACCGAGTCATCACAGCACGTCGTTATTGTCCTTCATAACCTCTGTATGATAATTCTCACGTTCAGTTGCTAGCAACGCATACTGCACTGCATTCATCTCGCCCATCTCGTCTTTCCTAGACTTGGACCCGAGGTTATACATCTGCCTTTGGGTGTGATGCCCTTTGTCACCCTTCTGCTTGTTTATTGTCTGCTTCTGTTGCGACGGAGGTACCCCGACATCTCTCATCTGCCTCAGAGATTCTTTATCCTCCTGACTCAATTGATTCATTTGACTGTGGCCCTCGGGATAAAGCATCTTCTCATGATTGTGATACTCTCGTCTTAAACCGGTTCCTTGCTCTGTCACTCCTTGTATCTCCCAGAATGAAGGTCCATCAAGAGCATCTGGATTAACTAGTAGTTCTTTGATTTTAATCTTGAACATGCACCCCGATCCTTTTGAACTTGTATTGCCACGACTCTCCTTGGAAGGATCCGGCTTGTATGACTTCCTCTCCCTACTGCATCTGTCGCAATACATATAACAGATACCCAATAATCTTTTGTTGCTCAACTCACGTGGCTTCATCGATCCCTTAGTTAGAAAGAAACCAAGAGACATCGCGATGTTTTTGGTCACTGTTACAGCATCTTCGAAATTGTCATATCGGACGCCATTGAGAAAATGGTCTTTGTAATCACCAATTAGTTTAACATTGTAATCCATGTCCACCTGCAATTATGATTTTACAACTCGTTAGAAATGTACAAATTATATGACTCTACAAAATTAAACTAACTGCAATAATTTAATTAAGTCTAAAAAATAATGATAATTTAAATATAAATTATTAAACCAAATTAGCTCTACGAATTAAATCTAAACACAATAAACTAATTTGCGCTAAAACAAAACACAATCACTTAATTAAACTAATTGTGCTTCAACATACTCTACAAAATTAAATTAAATGCAATAATTTAATTAACTAAAAAAAATAACGATAATTTGACGATCAAAAAATTATGTAAATATAAATTATTAAACTTCTTTAGCTCTAAAAATTAAATCTAAACACAATAAACTAATTATCGCTACAACAAAACACAATCACTTAATTAAACTAATTGTGCTTCAATTGACTCTACAAAATTAAACTAAATGCAATAATTTAATTAACTCTAAAAAATAATGATAATTTGACGATAAGAAAATTATTTAAATATAAATTATTAAACTTCTTTAGCTCTACGAATTAAATCTAAACACAATAAACTAAATAGCGCTACAACAAAACACAATCGCTTAATTAAACTAATTGTGCTTCAATTGACTCTACAAAATTAAACTAAATGCAATAATTTAATTAACTCTACAAAATAACGAACTACGAATTTAATTATGTAAAATAGAAATAAAAGAAATAAATTAAATATAAATTATTAGCTCTAGAAATAATAACCTGTCTCAATTAAAAAAAAAACACTGCCGGCTATATGCATCTGCTCGCCGGCGACGGGCGCCGTCCGCTCGCCGGCGTGACCCCGTCCGCTCGCCGGTGTCGGACGGGGTTCGCCTTCGGCGAGCGGACGGGAAAAAAATCCAGGAGGTCAGTGGGGTTTACCTGCTTCGCTGGTCCGACGATGGGGTACGGCTGCCGTCCAGTGCCCGGCGAATTATGCTGACGAGATTGGTCCGGTGGCCGGCGACTTAGGCTGCCGTCCGGTGGCCGTGAATATGGCTATGGTGTTTGTGGGGGGTTGGTGGTCGGGACTCGGGTGGTGTGTATGTTCTTTAAGAAACCATTTCAACGAATAGAATATAAAGAAAAATTTGGAGGGCAAATTTATCTTTTTAGTGTTTTTTACGGGCGACAAATAGTAATTACCCGGGCGGCAAATAGTAACCCTCCATTTTTATCACATCAATAAAGCTCAAATCTACACTTAGCTCTTCCCTTACCTTCACCTCACCCACTTATTCTTCAACCCATCCTTAGCATCATCCAGAGATATATCTTCCATGCCCCAACACGATCAGATCCCGATGAGAAAGTGATTGAATTGGATCATCCCAACTTCTCTCATAAATCTGCTTTAGTTATGCTAATTTGAACAAAGGTAAACAGGGAGGTGAGATCTGTAATGAGAACCTAACTAGATGCTTAAACGTATGGGAAAAACGAGGAGCATCGTTATGTAGTTTAAACTTTAAAGCAGAAGCAATAGATCAATAGTCCACTTAGTGATGGCAATAGGGCGGGGCGGGTACCTCAATTCTCATGCCCCGCCCCATGCCACTACGGGTTGGGGCGGGTAAAACCCATACAAGTAAATTTTACTTTTTACAATAAAACGTAGGGAAAAACACTTTAAGAATGAAAAATATTGATAATAGAATGGATAATTGAGCCTAACAAGTTGGAAGATCGACTCTAACTAGTTGAAGAAAAATCAAAATAGGAGAAATATATATAGATATTGTAAGAAATTGAGATAAATGAGTCTAAAACGGGGCGGGGCGGGGCATGGCTGGTCGGAAGTAGACACCCATGCCCCGCCCCACGCTACTGCGGGTCGGGTAATACCCGCCCCATCACGGGTCAGGTCGGGTAATACCCGCGGGGCGGGTTGAAATTGCCATCACTTAGTCCACTAGATGGTATAATCAACATAAATTTGTAGGTCATTACTCTCTGTTACTACCGCAAGTGTCACATCCTTCTCTCCAGTAATAGTCACATCCATAAACGGAGAAAACATTGCTTCTACCAGGAACATCACAGCTGAAACAGTATACTGGCCCATAAACAAAGCCTTAAAACTTAAACATACTTCAAAGCCTAACCTCGGAAGGTGCTATCGAGGTAACAGCATCTAACCAGATGGAACCACCCTTCTCTTCTTCAATGCCCTTTGTAATGCAGCCTTCATCAGCAGCAACTGATCATAGCACAAAGCCCGGAACTTCTTTGTCAGACTTCGTGTTGCACAAGTAGTCTGATAAAGTCCATGTTCCATAGCAGATGGGTATTTTCAATTGCTGGGCTTCGCTAAAAAGTCTTTGGTTCTCTTCCTAATTCGTGTGAATACAATTACTGCCAAAGCAAGGAGCCATGGATTAAAGTTACCCTCAAAGAACCTGGAATTCTTGATCCACTGAGGAGGTTCTTTCACCACCAAGGTTATTAATACGGTTGTTACTGCTACCCCTAACAGGATCTTGGTCACCGGTTTTATCATCGAATCCTGAAATTCCCAGACACAATTGAATCAGTAATATGTTTCAAGTAAGCACTCTGGAACGTGAAAGCGACGCATTCAAGGGAGAGCAGATAGTAGGGCGTTTGCTTTAGTCTACTTCTACAACTCGTTAATTACTCCAAAGTGAGTAATGGGAACCGGAATACAGACACAGGGGCAACAGACTGAAACAATTTGCTGGGATGAGGCTGTAGTGCAAACCAAAAAACGAAGTCTGTAAGTAGCAGCAGCAAGAATGAATCACGAATTCATGATGAAAATGGAGACAAGTACAACCAGTTCCATAATTGTGTTCAACTGAACACCAAAGAGATTCCACCTTCTTGATATATGCATGAAACTCTAATGGCCCTTAAAGAGTCACCAGATTTACTGTTCACAATACCCATTTTCTGTATCTTAGAACAACTGCAATTCCACCAGGCTAAGAATTCTGGCTTCAACCGAGTAGGATAAACTGCCATCAACAAGCTAAAGACGACTGGGTTTCCCCCCCAGAAAACAATGAACCACCCAAATAGTCCATCAATCGACTGTGTTTTTGCATTCTTTACCGCTTAATTAATCAAATCATGCATCCTAACTGAACATATTTTGCCGTAAAGAAAGAAACCTTTCCCAATTCTAGAGACGAGAGCACCTAAATGCGACGTTAGGGGTTACCTGAGGCTCGCCGTCGATGTAAATCACGGCTCCATCTTTATAACCAAGCATGGACCTGCCGTTCTTCCGGTTGAATCGGATCGGGGTGCCCCGGGTCATGGACCCGTGATTGAAAGCGTAAACGCACTTGAACCCATACTTATCGAGGATGTCTCGGATCTCCAGCTGATCCTGCTCCCACCCTCCCAATTTCATCTTGAAAACTTCAATCGGGCCCTTGCCCTTCCGATAAAGATGAATCTCCACCTCCGGCACCGGCGCCCCTGCGGATTTCGGGTTGCTGTCCGGTTCGATTAGCGGTGTCGTCTCCGTGCTCGTCTCTTCGACTTCTCTGATCCCTTCGTCCGCCGTCGCCATTCTCGCCTTCCCTGCTGGTTGAATTGAAAGGAACGAATTTCTCCTTTTGATGGGGGTTAGTTAAAAGTTCTTGTACCTGTCGTCTCGTGCCGGCTGACCAGCCGCTGCCAGTAGGGATGGCAAGCGGGTTTGGGGCGGGTTTGCCTAAACCATCCCCATCCCCATCTTCAAACACCCAAACTCATACCCGCCCCATATCCATGCGGGGGAATGTTTTGGAAACCCATCCCCATACCCGTGGGTTTCGGGTACCCATGAGTAATACCCATCCCCGTACATCCAACATTATTATACCTAAAACTTACAAGAAAAGTTTTAATTATAACCATAAATAAACCTATATATCATGAAGTCAACAAAACACGGTTATTTTCTAAATACGATTCAAAGAATATGATCCTACAACATCCATTAATACATAATATGGACTATAATATTTTTAAATTATTATGCTCTAACTCTTGATACATTTACTAAGTAATAATTAACTAACATAATCTTGTTGACAAAGGGGAAAGTGAAAGAGTGGAAGGAGAATTGAGGGAAATGAATTAGGTTTTGTTTAAGGTGGTTACTCAATTGCATTTCTACTATTTATTTTCTCGAGTTATCATCATCATCATTGATAGATTACAATTTAATCCACATATTTTTTGATATGTGAAGAAATTCTCTTGGTGGGGCGGGTATGGGTATGGGGCGGGGGAGGCTAAAACCATACCCGCCCCATACCCATCAAACTTTTTGCGGGTTTTACCCATACCCGCCCCATACCCGGTCAAAGCGGGGATTCCCCGCGTTGACTGGGTCGGGGGCAGTCGGGTACCCGCGGCCATGGGTTTGATTGCCATCCCTAACTGCTAGCTAACTAATTCCCTGGCTTGGACCACTGGGAAAAGGCCCAAAATTAAGTTCCAGTTAGACGGACCCTAGTCCATTTGATTACGAGCCCAATTTGAGAATTTAGTCACTCCAACTTATTTTAAGAGCTAATGCAGTAATACTCATTCGATTAACGGAACTAAACTAGCGATGACAAAAATATTCGTAACCGTGGATATCCACCCGAATTCGACCTAATCGAGTAGGATAAAACTTGAATCCGATGGATTTTTTGTGGGTACGGGTAAAACCCGAACCCGAATATTGAGGGTAATGGGTGGGCATGGTTTTTTCACTATCCAACCCGAACTCGCACGATTATATACATGCATATATATTTTGTATATAAATAAGGGCTAATACAACTACAACACCCGAACTATCCGGAAAATGCCACTTGTGTCCTATTGTTTCCAATATTCCATCTGTGTCCTCAACTATTATTTTGTTAATGTTGACTAGCGTTGACCGTTAGTATTTAACAGAAAATCCAGTCAGCGTTGACGTGGAATTTTCATTATCAATTTTCATTTATTTTTCCATCTAAAATAATTACAATAAGGAAAAGACAATACAAATTATGGAAAACCCCTAAATTTTCTTAATCCTCCGTCAGTCCAGCTCCTCTACCTCGTCGCTGCACATCTCCTCTGCCGCCGCAGCTACTCCGCTCGGCGATTCAGCAGCAGCAGCGACCTCGCCGACTCCACCTTCCGTCGCTTCCTAGGCAGACATCCTGCCATCGCTCAACATCTTCTGTCTCTCTCCCACCGAATTACATCAACCCTTAAACAAAAAGAAATCATATATGTCTTCTCCCCCGACGGTACTATTCCGCCTCCGCCAGCTTTGCCTCTCCAATCCCTTGCACACTGTCACCAACCACCTTCCCTCCAGCTTCATCACTCCCAATTCTTGGTGGAGCTTGCGTCGTTGTTGTTGCAAGAGGAATCCAGAACCACAGCTTCGGTCAACCATCTCCTCTCCGGCGATGTGAGACTATCGCGATTCTCAACGACGGATGGATCTGAGGGAAATGAATGGGTATAAGGGAAGAGGGTGATCGATGTACGAATTTTGGCTTGTCGCGATTCCTCAATGATGCGCTGAAGATCCACCATTTTTGCCAAGAACCCTAATTTTGGCAAAAACATAATTTGTTCGATTCAACTCAAAATTGGAGATTGAAATCGAAAGTAAAGCATAGTGATATGTTCTGGAGTGGGAGGAGGGTGTTAAATGGACATGGATTTGGAGTTTTGTTGAGGAAAAACGAAAAGGACTTAAGGAGAGGGAGACTGGAGCTTGCGGTGGCGCGAGAGACAAATGGAAATTCGTCGTATTTCTGGGTTCAGAGAGCAGGATGAAGGGCTGGGAGGTGATAGCGACTAGGATCGACGATGGCTGGAGATTGGCGGCAACGAGAAACAAAGGAGCAGGGGTAGGTGGTTAGGCCGTCAAAATTGCCGGTTGGAGAAACCACAATCACCTCGGCTGTCCGGCACTAGAAGACGACGAAGAGCAGGTGGAGGAACATTTTATTATTATTGAAAATACATATATTTTTAATTTTGAATTTCTTTATGTTTAGTTGTTATTTAATTTAAATTAAAAATGTGAGGTGTCAATGACTTGGCATTGCCACGTCAGCAAAAGTCAATGTTAAGTTGACCACTGTTTGGTCAACCGTTATCTTTAACGGTCAACGAAATTGTCATGATACAAATGACATAAAGTGTAATAATTCAGGACACAGATGGAATATTGGAAACAATAGGACACAAGTGGCATTTTCCGGATAGTTTGGGTGTTGTAGTGGTATTAGCCCTATAAACAATAATTATTTTTCTCTAACATTTTATATTTAGCATATAAATATAATATTTTCATGAAATTGTGTTGTTTTAATTAATTTTCTTCATTCTACTTAATTATTTGTCGTACTTTTCCTCTTATGTAATGTGAGAATATGTGTGAATGTTAACATGTTGGTTGGAGTTATAAAGAGAAATTATTACTCATGGATAACCGTGGATACCCGAAACCCAAACGGGCATGGGCATGGTTTTGATTTTCTACCCATTTCTTATGCGAGTACGAATATGGGTAAAACCCGAACTAGTTTGAGTAGGGTAACGGATATACACTATCCGCGTCCAACTTGATCCATTGTCATCTCTAAACTAAACTATGGGAATCTTTTATTGAAGTGTATGAATTCATCTTACTATATTTTTTATGATGAATTCATCTTACTATATTGCTTCTCTTTGAAACTTTTTATGGATTTCCGTATGTATACATCTTGGCTATCAAATTCAAAGATGAGACGTTCCTAAAATTTTGAAGTCATTTACTCTACAAGTCCAGAATGAGAAACAATAAAAAAAATCATTCACACTAGGAGTCATCAAGGTGAAGAATTCATAGGAGATGAACTTCTAGTTTATTGTAATCAATTAAGGACTAACTTAACTTTTCGAGCCATGTAGATCATTTCTCCTTGCCAGTTTCAGACTATGCAACGTGATCTGCATAGTAAGGATAATTAATGATGTTCTTCATCTTCCAAATTCACAACGCGGCAAAAGTCAAATGATGTGAGATCTCTAAGTCATGGGGTCTCCCTAAAAGAAATCCATCACAACATGAAATATCGTTGGAACACATATTTAAGGAGGACATTTTTGGCGCCAGCCTTCAATTGAATTTGAAAACATGAGATAGACAACTCTTTAAAGATTGACCATGTTTCTCAATTCTCAAAATGAGCTATGTATGCTTAAAGGTTCTTTTTAATAGCATACTAGAAAAATGCCCGCTGCTACGCCGCGGGGACTTAAGTTGCGGAGTCGTGATGAATAGATGGACAATTAAGTTTATGGTCAATGCAGGCTATTAAATTTTCTCTAATGTAAGGAGGTGGAGAGTCGTGTTTGTGGGCATTCCATCTACTAATCAATATGAGGCTGAGATTGTCAATGCTAAACTGAAAGTAGACGTGTTGTTGACACATCAATCGGCTAATAATTTTCTACGTTTGAGGATAGACATATAGGGGTCATGCCATGCAAGCGACGTAAGCACAATGCAACAACACATTAGAAACTTAAACAATTTTCCATGGGCTGGGATAGAAAGACAGGTCACAACATTCATATTGCATGAGCACAATGATTCAGGATGATTGAAGAGTACTGACAGACAACTAAACATAATGTGCATATGAAATAAGGTTCCAACTTCTGAGATCTTCTATTATGACATGTCACCACTAAAAGTATACCCTGTGTGAGCTCCAAATTGCAGCAAAGTCTACACTTACATACACAATGCCTTGAACTTCCTTCTGAGATGCATACCGAGTATTGATTGTTCTCTTCTTCTCTGTCATATGATAGTCACTTTCTGTTTGTGTTTTAAATTGCCTTCTCTGGGTTAATGCCCATTGGTGGAAATTAACTCCCTTTGCATAGTACTTAGCCAGGCCTCCCCTATTGTTCCTTCAACTTTCCTTGTGTTTCTCAACTAGTCAGCAATGTTCTTTCGAACTTTGCAGCAGATCACTTGGGGTGGAAACTCTTTGCCTTCAAAGATTCTCGTGTTTCTTTCCTTCGAAACTGCCCAACAGATTGCGTGAAACAGAACCTTTGAATACCACTCTTTGGGACTGGCAGCTTGTTGGTGGGGCCAACCTTTGATTGCTGTCTCACTCGAAATGGGAGTTTCAAAAATGAACATATTTGCTTAATCTTCTCCATACATCCTTCAAGAAGCTGCAAGCAATAAAAAAACTATCGATATTTAGAATTGTTCCATCAGAAAGATTAGTATTTACTTAAAAAAATTTAGCTTCTTGACAACTGGACTGAATTAGTCATGGCAATGGGTGGTTTGACTCTTCATCCTGAGTGGCTTGACTCCTCACTCCTCACCGAGCCAACAACGAAGGAAGGCAGAAAAGCAGCCAACACAGGTAGAACAACATGTTCGAGATGAGTGAAGTGAGAGAATCAAGAAGGACTGGATCATACTGCTGGCTTGGGGCTGGGAAATCTATAAACCTAGAAGAACAAAATGAACGTAGTCAATGACAGTAAAGATACAATTAACTAATATATAGTTTTCCCCTACGAAAGATACAATTACAGAACTACTTAGTATATTCTAAAATTATTATCGACAAGCATAATCCTAGGTTAGTGTAATTTTAATGAAAATCCTACTAATTAGGACACTCAATACTTTTCTGAGCACCAAACGAATCTTTTGTAATTCATGAAAACCAACCGTGACTGTCTATGACTTGGACGCAACCAATCCAACGTTGAGATCTTGTAGCCTTTTTAGATGGTGATGACTGATGAGGAGGTGTAAGTTCAAATAAATTATGGGTAACAAATGAGAAACAAACATACGTGTTTCAGGAATATGCAGACAAAAAACACCATGAGTAAGTTCAAGAATAAGCCGATTGACTCCAAGAATTAGGAAAAGGGCAAAAAGTATATCAGTAGGGCAAAGTCTTCTTTAATCCTCCTTGAACAATAAAGTTGTCAACTGTATCATTCCTTAAGCGTCAGAAAGCAAAGCTAAAATCATAACTACCATGCCAAGCCACCTATATGAAGGAGTTTGCAAAAGTAAAGTATAATGAAGCCGAGACGATGCACATATGCACACTGTAGGATAAATAATACATACCCAGCCGAGACGGGTGATTGGAGCCTAGCACGTAACACGGCTGTGGTAGAACTCTTTAAAAGCTTAATAGGTGTCGACGGTGTAGTTGCAGCTGAGAACACGACATTGAAGGCTATGGTCATGCTTGTTTTAGTACTTACGAAAAGACAAACATAATTTTAGTGATATGAAGTCAAATATATCGGTAAATATATCGGATCTAATAATCCAAATAAGCTGCATAAAAGACTTTGATCTGTGGTACACACAACTATCATTATACGTCCATTGAGGTGCACTTTCGTTATTGGGCAAAATACCAATGGCATATAGACACTGAGATAGACCATGCAAGAGAGTAGAGACAACACAACAAAACTGGAAATGCTGAAAGCAAAAATGGTTCTTTCAGCTGGTTCTTTGTCTCTGATAACTTCCTACAGGGTTACTAATTCCTAAGTGTCAAGCATGCATGAAAATTTGGAAAAACTGCACTGCATAGTTGGGTTTGATGTCCCTGCTACAACCTCTGGATCGTATAAGCAGCAAATGCAAGTCTAAATGGCAAGTACCATGATAAAAGAAGCATGTGAAGGTGAATCAACCTCTTGTATAGGATCTGCATTGCTCATAGAACACCAAAATTTGGAATAATGAAGCATTACTGGAACACTAGAATGTGAAATAATGAAGCATTCCTGGACTATGAAAGAATCTTTGTTAAAATCCATTGAAATGTAGGTGGCCAAGCACTAAAACAGGGGATCTTGGAAGCTCAATCAGAGTTAGAATCAAGCAAGAAGCATCGAAGTGAAAACGATAACTAAAGCATTGAAGTAAGCCAGATAGATCACACTCTCAAATTATAATCAGTGGTTTGTTGGACTTAACTAACGTGTTGAGCAATATTGAAAGCAAGTATCAACCATATATATTTACAGGTATACCGTGTTTCTATGATATAATGTTCTGCGCATGCTGGGAATACAAAGAGATACATATAAAGTTCAAAACAACACTAATCGGACAGGGTTAGCACATCAAAACCTGAACATCACAGAAATTTCGTAAGCACCTAGGTTTACAATGCAACGCAGTTGGATGCAAAATTACCAGGTGGGGCAAATCAGCATAAAGCTCTCAATAGAGATTTTTGTACAATATGAGGACATGCTCTCATTATCGTGTATGAGAAATTGAAGGCCCTCAACTATGCATCCAATGAGACTATTAAGTAAATTATCCAACAGACTCCAAATTCAATTGAGAAATTTGATAACAAAAATTAAGTATGGTATTAAACACAGATGGCAACAATATGCAACTTTAGTTAGTGGCTAGAAATCAAATGAGACTATTAAGTAAATTCTCCAGCATACTGTAAGTTGGACCAAAAGCCAGTAGTCAATACACTATTCTATTTGGAATGGTTAGTTATCGGGAGTCAAACATAAAATTCTTTTATAATGTATTATCTTTAATTAGAGTTGGATCAGAAAGTAGTGAGGTTGACAAAGAGAAAATCAAATTTAAACCAATGAAGCAACAAATAACATTAAATAAAAAAATGCTACCCAGTTTGTTTGAAACAAACCCCAGAAAGAGCAATTACAAACCCAACCCGTAAAGATAGAGTAAAGTTGCTTCTATCCACTAATAGCTTTAGCAAAAATTGCTGAAGATGCTAGGTTTAATTGAAGTCGCTATGAATGACAGATGAATCAAATGATTGAACTCATTTTTTATAATAGAGCAAGGTAATGAAACTGAATCGACTTTGGGACTATGAGTTTTGCAAACAGATGTTATTTCTCCACAACCAAACAGCCAAAGGAAGGAAATTTGCTGCGGCATAGCTAGTGATGAAAGGAAGAGGAAATCAGGGAAAAAATAATTAGCATTGCTTGTATCCATCCACAATCTCAAAGGCAGAGAAAATCACTTACCATTGCTTGTATCTTTAATTCCAACAAGAGTCGTGGCATCATTATCTATCCTCTTACCCGTAGCTTTTGCACTGACAATCTGTGTTCTGCATCAAATTCACTTGAAGGCAACATATTCAGATTTAGCCACCTCATAGCAACAACAAAAATTATAATCTTTTACTTGCAGGTTTGGGTTGGAAGGTAGAGAACCGAGTGAGAAAACTGCAAATGTACCCCCTTGCTCAGGTGTACAGTCTACAATATGCCCCCCCCCCCCCCCCCCCCCCCCCCCGGGGAGATTAGCTCTAGTGTAAGCATAAAGTATTGAAACCAGAGAAGGCACTGCCTCTGCTTTGCTTCGCGCGCCCATTATTCTTTTGATTTTGCCTTGTTGGCTTTCTTCACAGTATTGTTGGGTCTCTTTGATTTTCTGGGTTCTGTGCTCTGGTTTCCTTCTTTGTGTTGGGGTTTTCACCCTTTTCTTTCCCTTTCTTTTCTTTCCCTTTCTTTTCTTTCTCCCCTTTCTCTGTTTTTGTTTTCCGTACTTTGGGTTTACCGTTACCGTTTTGGGTTGCCCTGTGCTGTAACTCTTCTTCTTATTTAATTAATATATATCATCCTTACAAAAAAAAAAATCATCCGTCAAAGCTGAGAACTCCGAGAATCCGCCCTACCGGCGGGCATTTCCTTCTATCCAAGGCTGAAACTAGAGAAGGCAAGACTCTTGGAAAGTGAAATTGATGGGCGAGCTTAATCGGCGGCTGTGTAAAGTGGGAATAGAGAAAAATGAAGCCAGGGGGTGGAGACGAATTGGAGAGGAGCAAACCGAAGGAGGTCACTGCTTCACTAATCGAGAGGGGCAAGGGCATAGCCGTGTCGAGCAGAAGCGGAATGGCGTACTGACCAGAAAAGCATGGTCCCCGTGAAAGAGGCGAAGTCAGTTTGCATGGTGGAAGGAGGAGAGGACTGTAGGGCAACCCGCAATCGTAGAGTTTGCGGCAAGGGGGTATGGGTTTCGCGTACGGAAGGAGAGAAGTTGATTGGATCTGGGCTAAGCAGCAGATATACGACGGTGATGGAGACCGAACTCGCGGAGGTGAGACAGCGGCGAAGGCAGGCCATAGTGGGGAGATGGAAGAGAGACCCAAAGACCTTTTTCAGTAGGCGACAAATAATGAAACAGTAATTGGAAGTTTGGGTCAATAAAACGTAGCCAACTTTTACATATAAGATAATGAGATGTCGAGGTACTTACCCCTCCTTCTAGTTAGTTAATCCCCAAGAAATTCTCAATCAGAACTCTTGAATTGTCTGAAAAACGAATATGAGCACTCGATAACAATCTATAACTCGAATTCATAAGTCTTCTTGAGTAATTCCACTGAATCAATCAACGATTCTTATATTAATTAGAAAGAAAACATCGAGAATCAATCTTTTTTTATCTTTTTATTTGTTTACCATAGATTGGTAATTGTTGACTAGAAACATAAACCCCTATCCTTGTATTTTCACGACACTTTGTTCGGCCATACACTAGCCTACAACAATGTGGCGTAAACAAATAAACAATCACTTGCCACTATGTCAGAATGGATTTTATTTATGTACAAACACCCCCAGAAAGGAAACAAAATTCCTGGCGCAGGCGGTACCGTTCAGCAGAGCTCAACACAAAATTTCCTCAAGTAGCTGGTCCATAATCAAATCTTCCAGTTCAAGCGTCACATCCTCGCTCTCCAATTGAATGTTCATCCACCCATCGCCTCTCTTCATGTCCCTGGAAAATATGTCAAACAGCGACAGATCCATCTCCGGCAACCGACGCCCACCGATCCTCTTCCACACTTCCTCCAGAACCCGCTTCCCCTTGGGCATCAGCTGGCTCCCCTGACCGACGTTCAGCGGCTTGGGGAAGTATGTCAACGAGCTGCCGTAGATTCCAATTAGCTCCTCGTTGATCAGATCGAAAAGAAGCCGACGATGGATGCTGCTGGACATGGATTCCCCCTCTACAGATTGCAGGAGGGACTCCATTTCGTCGAACACCAACGGACTCAACGGCTGGTCTAGTGAGTACCACAATGTTCCTGGGAAGCAGCAGCGACCCTGGTCGAGGAACCCGGATACCTCTAGCACGTCCCTGATGTAATCGAAATCCGCGCTGTCTTCGTTGAGCTTGAGCTCAACTCCTTCCATTCTGTAGAAACTTTCTGCTGCTGCTTCTTCTGTTGGAACTGAAACAATCAATAGAGCAGAATGAACCTGTCAGGATTTATTTAAGTACTAGGGAAAGGAAAAAAAAAAAAAAAAAGTGGATTAGACAAGGAAAGTGGATGCCTACTGTTTTCAACTGGCTTCTGATCATCATTGCTTGATGGAAATGAAGAAGCAATCTCTTGAACTTGTACAAAGATTTTCTCTTCATCGTCTTGCTCCTCGTCGATCTGAACAGCAACAGGACTACTTTCTGAAGGTTCGATTTCATCGATACAATCCAGCTCCTGGAGCTCCTTTCTGTCTAGAGAATTCCTTCTGGAAGGATTTGTCTCGTCCTGACCATCTTGTTCCTTTGCCTGTAATATAGCATCAAGATCAGGCAGAGACAGCCTCCTCCTGAAGGAATACTTGAGACGATTCTGATGACTCTTGTCTTCATTACTCAACCTTAAGCTCTGTGACTTTCTGTACTGCCATGTCGTCTGATTATTACCAAAGGATGAACTGCGTTCCATCAATGGAGCGTACTTGTGCAACGATTCGCTAAGAGACAGTGTTCTTCTTACTTGGAACATTTCCCCATTCACAGGGCTAATAAGTCTCCTGCTGCTACTCATCTTGGGGCGATGACCACCACGACGAAGACGAATCCAATTCCTTAGCCTTGTTTCCCCAGTCGATGCTCTTTTGTTCTTCTTTCTGCCCTTGTTCAACACGCGCTTTAGGATCCTCTGCTTGACACCCTTAAACCCGCCCACTATCGATACAATCCACTTGCGTTTGTGAGTAAATGGCATCACCTTCTGCTCGCCATCTGGTTTCTCAACCGTTGAATCTGCAAACTTGGAAGTAGGCCTTTTTGGGGATGACCACACTTCCATGTGCTTGTGTTCTAACATACTGGGAGTAAGAACACGAGGAGAAGACGACGAAGAATCAACCGCAGGAAACGACCCGGATTTCACTAATCTCAAGCTTTTGGTGTTAGTCTGGCGGGCAAGGAAGCTATTCCCAAGCTGTGCCTCTTTGTTCTTGATGATATCCAGGAACTGGCTCTTGTTGACCATGAACAAGTCCAGGAGGTCAAGGCACTCTTTCAGATGATCCTCCGGGCTCGAGATTGCTCCGCGTGCATCCTGTGAACCGCTTTGGCTGCTCACCAGTTTGTTGTACTTCTCCGCCAGAAGTTGGTTCTCGGTGGAGAGCTGGTACTTGCTCAAATCCTCGCGAGCAGCAGGTTTTGGAGCCTCCTGAAACTTTGGGGAAGTAGCAGCAGCTTTGGGGGTTTTGTGGATGATTATGATGGGACTAGTTGCCCAATCAGGGCCGTGCTGCTGCCATAGCTGTTGATTCAGTGAATAAGTCCTCAGTAACCGCAGTTTTACAGACTTCTTCTTAGCAACCATCAGCTCTTTGGTCTTGGAAGCTTTCGCGCTCCCCTGCCCGTCCACCTAACCAAATTGCAACCAGCAAAACTCAGCAAGTTTTCACACTAATTGATGAAAAAGAACTTGGGATGAAAGTAAGTATCATAAACAAAAACAACTAACCAGCAAGGGCGCAGCTGGGTCCGATTCAAACGACGCATTCATGTCGTCGAACTGCTGATTGTGAAACGAAGTTGTCCGCGGTTGTCCGCAGCCTACGAGGAAAGGGAACAGTTTCTGGGTGAAGAACAACATAGTGGAAAATGTACAGGGGAACTGAGGAACTCTGAGAATCAGGAGATGCTAGTCTACCATCTCTGGCTTTGTAGGTGGGGAAATATTTAATGGGTTGATTTCAGGACCAAAAGGCAAAAACGTACGCCACCAACATTGGACTGAAAGCAAAGAATAAATTAAGATTTAAGAAGACAGCGAAATTCAGGGGTAGGGTTTGCTTTGTTAATTGCTTACATCTGCCAAGCCGCCTCCCTTGGCCGCGTTTCCTGCGGGAAGGCTTCTTCTTTCCGTCATCGGACCGGCGAGTGTGGAACATGGCCCGCAACAAGCACCGGTTCGCAAATTCCTGTCGTCCACCTCTGTGAACTTCTTCGGGTTCCATGTTTTCTCAAAGCAATCGCCTTTTCCCCCCTGTTTTGCACCTGACCCTGGAATTCAGCCGTTTCTTGTTTTATGTATCCTGAGGAAATTGTTAAACAACTGGGAAAAAGGCGCGCCTCTTATGTTGTTAATGGAAGGAAACCGGATTTGTTGAGACCCACTCAGAGAACACAAAAGGGAACAACTTTATTGCTCTGTAATTTTCGAAAAAAGGAACAAAATCACCCAATAGCTTGCTTTCCACTCCAGATTCATAGAACACAAAGGAGAGAAAGAAGAAGAGAGACTAACCTGATATGAAGGCAGAAGAGGAAAACGTAGCTGGCGGGCGGGCTATTTACTTGTAGTCCGAATTGGTCAGCTTCCAGAAAGAAGCAAAGTAAGAACACGGCAGGAAAAAAGACCCGGGAAAAGTCGGGGCTCTTTCTTTTACCCGCCAAAAGACGCAGCAGCTTTCTCTCTTCTCTCAATCTAGACGAGTCTAAGGGTTAAGGGTCCAAGTCGGAAACAATATTTATGCAGATAGTGGCAGAGTAACGGTGAAAGTCAAAGGACGTAAGCTACTTGATAATTTATGATATCAATCAAAGCCTGGTGGTAGATGACCAAGCACCAATTCTTTTAATTAACACACAGTAGGTTGGAAAACTCAGTTCCAACTCCTCTTAACCAAACACCTTTTTTGTTGTTTAGGTGATATAACTAAAAAGCGACCCACCGGAGCCACGACGACGGCGACGGCGACGTCTGCACCCAGGAAGAAATTGGGATAGAGCAGAAAACTCGGCCGTAGAATTTGAGAGTGGGCCGGGGATTCTATTCTATCGAGGATTATGAAGCGATGAAAGCCGAAGAAAGTTGGTTATTGGTAGTAGATGGAGGGAGGAAGAGGGTGAGGAGAAAGGTCAAAAGGTGGGCTTTGTAGGAGCTGTCCAGCTCAAAGCCTCCCCTGCCTCTCCCCTGTTTTCCGAGGTGGATGATGAGGGCAATTTTGTATGCTTGCTGAATGGTACTTTGGGTAAAGGTTTTACGTAACTGTCAAAATTTTGTATGCAGGTGGACATTGAAGTTAAAGTGTTGCATAATTAGTCATTTAAATACTCAAAAGTTAGTATAGATATATTAATATGGAGAACTATAAATTGATTTTAACAAGTGTTATTGATGTCTCTCATTTGCGCTCGCGATTCGCGACGAGTGATATATAAGTTTTTCGTTGTCTTTCTATATAAGTTTAGTATAGAAAATAAAATACTCACAAAGAAGTAAAAGATGAATGATTATTTCTTCTTCTTCACCTTGTTCACTTCTTTTGTTGCAAGAGCAACATGAAAGGAAAAGAGGAATGCATCATGAAATATGAAAAAAGAAACCAATTGATGTAGTACCAAAGTGAGAAATCCTATGATGTCCTAGTGCATGAGATCTTTCGATAGTAGCTACTCAAATCTAAACCAATATATTTGAATGATGATGCAAAGAAAAGTAAAACTAGCGGGTTGAGGTGTCCAGATGTCGAGTTACTACTACTAGGGGTGGAAGTTTGGGTTGCGGGTTGCGGGTAACCCGCAAACCGCACACTTTGTGGATACCCATATCCACAATTTGTGGATAGTGGGTTGGGTGTGGGTAGCAAAATACTGATTTTTGTGGTTAGTGGTTAACCACTACCCATAGCGGTTTACCCACAAAACCCACATTAACCACATTAGTTATATTAGTTTGTGAAACTTGGAAGATTAAGAATTAAAGTATCTACCAAAATCAAATATGCACTTATTCTATAAAACAAAACCAAGTCAATACACAATGTTCATGTGAAATACTTTTATTAAATAAGCATTGTTCCTATGTTATATGTTTATTTTATAACAAAACCAAGTCCATAGATATAGTCAGATAAATTAATCGATTTGTTAAAAGAGGGGAATAAATAAAGGTTAGTCAGATACCCAAACTCATCTCCATTTCTCCACGAACTCACGAACAACACAACATGTAACCAACTACCAACAACACAAGACTATAATCGAGAGTGGAGAATAATAGATTCATTAAAAGCGGACGCCTCCACTTATCGAGCCATTTAGTGTTTTGCTGTTGTTGCCATCGGAGGAGTCGTGACATTCAACGATGTTAGTCTGGTAACATATCACTCTGCCTCTCCGTTATTTAAAAACCCTTTTCAAATCCATCACTTCTGAATTTACACTAACTAACCTATTGTATTCGAGATTTATAATTTATTTTACACTTTATTAACTTTCTTTTATGTATGTTTTTGTTTTTGTGCGAGAAGAAATACAACATCACTATTTAATTACAATATTATTATATTTAATGTGAAATTTTTGTGGGTATCCACAACCAACCCGCAACGGGTAGTGGTTAACCAGTACCCACTGCGGGGCGGATTGTGGGTAGCATAATTCTATATTTGTGAGTGTGGTTACCCGCAAAATGTGGGGCGGGTAACCACACCCACCCCAATTTCCACCCCTAACTACTACTACTGCAAAGAAGAAAGCAAATAATGAAAACAAAGCAAGTAAAAGGATTGCTTAGGTAGTTTTCTCTAGATTATCATGTGTACTAACTTAACAATGAGATTTTTCTATACACCATCTATTATGATCCTCTATCCCTTTCTCTGAAGTGATGCTTCAATTATTATCACCCTTGGATAGCTTGCAATGCTTCCCTTGAGTACGAGCCCTACAAAACAAAAATAAATAAGGAGGTAATAGCTTTCCAAAGTAATCAAACACAAGAGGTTAGTTTCTTTCAATTATTATTAAAAAAAGTCACCGGCAACGGCGCCAAAAACTTAATGTAACGACAAGTGATATAATCCTAGGAGTTCCTAGGGTGGTATTCCACGAGGCCTTTTGATAGTAACTACACAAACCTAACCTATTGAGCTTGAATTAAGATGAAAGCAGAAGGGTAGCTAGTCCTCCTACTAATTCATATATAGAAGGGTAGCTAGTCCTCCTATACATGCCTAAGTAAATGCCTACTACATGAGATTAGTTTCCTTGTATCCCATGTAGTATAAACAGTGCATATATAGTAATACATAATAGAATCATAAACATAAATGATATAAGCATCTAATAATCATAGCATCGAACAACTCAAGCAATAGATTATACAAACATAGATTGACATCACGCATCAATAATAAGATATCTAAATACAATAGACTTCTCATTAATTAAATCATAAAAATAGATGCATTATGCATGAAGCATAAAAGAATTCACATTCCTAAAGAGATCGACTAGCACCGCCTTTCTCCATCCCTTCATCCTCCCTTTTTTCCTCTCTCAACCAACCATCTTACCTCTGTTCCGGTCCACCTACCGTAGCATGTTCTTGTCTCCCCCTCTCGTTCAAGCTCTATTCTTCATTGACGTGGTGTCACAAGTTGTTTCCTTTGGTCAATGCCTCCATGAATTTCGTTCCCCACTTTAGGCATCGGTCATCATTCTAAGATTCCTTCACTGATGAGAGTGGATTTCAATTGGGAGGATGTAGAACAAAACACTGTTAGTTCAATGTAGTTATTGCGAGTTTAATTGTTGTGGTTAGTAGTATATTAAACAAAAGTTTGTTAATCTAATGGGTTACTGTGCATTTTGTGGGGTTAATCATTGTGAGCCACTAACAACAAATTATTAATTTACTAACCACACCCAACATACTATCCACAACTTGTAACTGTTATTAATCACGTGTGCAGATTGGTGAGATTTTTTAGTTATTCACAAATCGCAAACCAAACTTCCACCCCTACCAATGATTCATGACTTAAGTGTATCAATGTACTTTATTTAAGAAGAAATATTGAATTATGAGGTATCCTACCCAACCAAGGGGGCCTACTCTTGTGATGTAATACAAGTTAGAACTGTGAACATTGTGTCAAGATTACATTAAACAAAACAAGAATGGGGCATTCACAATTCAAGTTGGTAGACAGAACAAGAGAGCGAAACCTAAAGAAGAAATCAAGAATTCAATCGAGCTTTCAATGGATATAAAATCAGTCCATGATATGTTGCATATAGGGTTCTGTTGGGCATGTGACTCGGGCCTAGCCACGCCAGAGGAAAGCACCGACACTTCCCCAAATGCTGCTAAACCCTGCAGGACGCGACGCGATTGAAGACCTCCAGCGCGGTTCAGCGCGAAGGCCTCGAGTGCAACACTGTGAAGGCAGACTAGCGCGAAGAAGGCAGACTAGCGCAAAGATCTCGAGCGCGACCAAAGAAAGGATCAAGGCGTTGACTAGACCAAAGAGCCGCAGAAAGCGTCGTCTCGTTTTCCGAGGGGTAGTCACATCAGGGTCCTAAACACAGTCTTAGGTAAGCCCCTGACATGTCCTAGGTATAAGCATGACCTAAATCCCTGACATGTCAGTGGTCATGTAGTGGTCATGTCATTGTACCCACATGTAACCCAACCACTCACCCACCACCATGTAGCCTATAAATATGGCATTTACTCCGGTGGGTGAGGGAAGGGGATTTTTCTGGCTCTATCTCTAAAATCATCGACTTCTCTCTCTAAGATATTTCTCTCTCAATTCTCTTTGTAATCTCCTCAGTTTTTCCATCGACGATTATTCCCTCATTGCTTACTCTCCTTGACCCATTTTCCCGAGTCTCCCTCCTACACCCAGTTAGGCTCAAACAATTGGCGCCCACCGTGGGGCCAAGTAGAGAAGCAAAGAAAACCGACCTATGGCAGAGCATAACTCCAACTCGCCTGACGAATCAACCCCCATCAAAGCGATGACCAACCCAAGGGAATTCGCGGAAGCTAGCAATCTCAACGCGGTGCTCCTGGAAGAGGAAGAGCCCGAGCTCACAACCAAGGAAATGAGACAGCTGATGGCGAAGCAGAACGACGTCATAGCTAACATGCAGAAACAAATGAGCCAGGTCATAGCGCTCATGATGAGCAAGGAGGCCGCGGCGACAGCAGGCGCGATACCAGCCGCGCCCCAACAAGCCCCATGAGAAGCGTCGGGGACTGCCCTATCACCGCACCCCGCGCACGAAACGCAACAAGTCGAGCTCACAGTATGCGCGACACCAGTCGCTCCCCAACAAGCCCCAGGAGAAACGTCGGGGACGGTCCCACCACCGCACCCCGCGTACGAAACGCAACAAGTTGAGCCGCCAGGAAGGGCGGACCTCAGTTTTCTGGAGCAACACCTGTCTCCGCAATACCGACTCAACCCACCCAAGAGGGCGCTCCACCAGCCGCTAAGCGCGGAAATCATGGCGGAACACCTGAGCGGAATGCCACCCGCCCTCCCAACATACAACGGGAGGACTGATCCCGAAGACCATGTGAGCACCTTCTGCCTGCGGATGCAGCTCCAAACCAACTCCAATGCGGCACTATGCCGAACCTTCCCATCAACATTCTCCGGGATATGCCTAGACTGGTATAACAGGCTCCCGAAAGGGATCATCCGCTCATTTGAGGAGTTCATACTCCTATTCACGACGAAGTTCGCATCCCAAAAGGACAGGGAAAGCCTGCAAGGCGCTGGTAGACCTCAGGCAAAAGGACAGGGAAAGCCTACGATCATTTTATGCCTCAAGGCGCTGGTAGACCTCAGGCAAAAGGACAGGGAAAGCCTGCGATCATTTTACGCCAGATGGTCCAGGGTGGCGATGGCAGTGCGCGCCCTTCTTCAAAACACTCAAAAGCGACACAAAGTTTGCATGGACCAAAGAGTGAGAAGCAGCATTCCAAGAGCTGAAGGCATATCTTGTATCCCCTCCTGTGTTGACAGCTCCCAAGCTTAATGAAAAATTATTCCTTTATCTGGCCGTGTCGACGAGAGCTGTGAGCGCAGTTCTGATATCCAGAAGAAATGATAATACCGAGCAACCTGTGTATTATACTTCACGCACGCTAGTCAGCGCGAAAACAAGATAATCCCCAATAGAGAAAGCGGCCCTGGCATTAGTGAGCGCGTCGCAGAAGTTGCGTCCCTATTTCCAAGCGCACCAGATCACTGTCCTGACCAACCTCCCACTAAAGAAAATTCTAACTTCGATGGAAGTATCAGGGCGCATGGTGAAATGGGCGGTCGAACTCTCAGAGTACGATATCCAATATGCGCCGAGACCAGCAATAAAAGCCCAAATCCTAGCAGACTTCATCGCTGAAGGAGTCACCCTCGAAACAACACCAGAGGGGGTATGGGAAGTTTATGTCGACGGAGCGGCAAGTAAACACGGTGCTGGCACGGGGGTCGTCGTGCGCACACCCACAGGCGTTGTTCAGGAGATAGCAATCAGATTCAGAGCGTTGAAGACGAATAACGCGGCCGAGTACGAGGCCATCGTGGCAGGAATGACTGCCGACACGAATTGGGCGCAAGAACAATAAGGGTACTTTCCAACTCCTCGCTTGCAGTCAACCAACTAAACGGAGCCTTTGACGCAAAGGAAGACAGCCTAGCACATTACATGGAGCGTGTCAAGCTGCGAGCAGCCACCTTCGAGGCGGTAACTTATGTGCAAATACCGAGAGAGGAAAACGTGCACGCTGACGCGCTATCCAAGCTAGCGACCGCCACCGACTTCGAGACAACTCGTCTCGTGTCAGTACAGAAGGAAGAGGAGGAAAATCGCCAAGAAGTGGCGATTAATACCACCCAACTCATGAGCGATGAGGACTGGAGAACCCCAATTGTGCGGTACTTACAAGAAGGTACGATACCGGAAGACGCTAAAGAGGCATGGACTTTGAGGCAAAAAGCAGCTCGATGCACACTCATTGAAGGAGAACTGTACCGGCGGTCGTTCTCGGGTGTCTACCTAAAGTGCATTGGACAAGAAGAGGCACGCGACATGGTGCGTGACATACATGAAGGGTTGTGCGCAATGCACGCCGACCCACGCAACATGGAGCGCCCCATTTTGCTGCACGGATACAACTGGCCGCGAATAAAAAAGGACACGAAGAAATACGCGGACCAGTGCCACAAGTGCCAAGTCAACGCGCGCCAACACCATCTCCCATCAACCGAGCTCCAAGCCAACCTGAGTCCATGGCCTTTCGCGCAATGGGGAGTGGATCTCTTGGGCCCCTTCCCAACAGCAAAAGGGAAGCGCAAATACATTATTGTGGCCGTAGACTACTTCACCAAATGGATCGAAGCTGAAGCACTAGCCTCGATAACGGCACAACAGGTGACGCGCTTCCTAAAGAACAACATCTTGTCGCGCTTTGGGGTCCCAAACGCGCTCATCTTTGATCATGGGAAGCAGTTTGACTGCGCAGAAGTGATAGACTTCTGCGACCAAGTGGGAACCATTGCAAGGTTCGCATTGGTATCTTATCCTCAGGCCAACGGCCAAGCGGAATCCGCCAACAAAGCAATCCTGCACGGCCTGCACACCCGCTTGAATGACGCCAAAGGTAATTGGACTGACGAGCTCAACACAGTGCTATGGGCGCACCGCACCACATACAAAGTGGCAACGGGCAAAACTCCTTTCGCCCTTATATATGGCACCGATGCAGTAATTCCTATAGAGACAACGGCCCCGACCTATCGAATCACGAAGTACAGCGAAGAAACCAACGATGAAGCGCGTTTGCTGGAGCTGGAATTGTCACAGGAAAGGCGCGAGTTGGCAGCAATCAAGCTGGCCGCAATGAAAGAGCAGGTAGCCAAGTACCACAACGCGAAGCTGGTTCCACACAAGTTGATCCTCGGCGACCAAGTACTGCGACGGAACTTCCGCCCCGACCCCAAGCATGGAAAGCTCGCCTCAGTGTGGGAGGGTCCATACCTAATCCGCGAAGTGGTCGGTGCCAACACCTTCAAACTCAGCGAGTTGGGGGGCAACAAGATACAAAGGACGTGGAACGCGCAAAACCTAAGAAAATATCACCAGGCAACTTAAATATGTATCTTTCTTGCTATCGCGCTTTGCCGCAAAGGAATGGAAAGGAGTCAGTTCGCAAGGACAAAAAATTAGCAATAGTCCAGCACTATTCGCGCTCACTCAGTTTGCAAGAACAAAAAATTAGCAATAGTCCCGCACTATTCGCGCCCACTCAGTTCGCAAGAACAAAAATTAGCAATAGTCCCGCACTATTCGTGCCCACTCAGTTCGCAAGAAAAAAAAATTAGCAATAGTCCCGCACTATTCGCGCCCACTCAGTTCGCAAGAACAAAAAATTGGCAATAGTCCAGCACTATTCGTGCTCACTCAGTTCGCAAGAACAAAAAAAAAACTAATATTCGCGCCCACTCGATTCAAAGGAACAAACAAACGCCATGAATAAGGACTCTTTGGATTCAATTAAGCGGGAGCAACAAATACTCGCAACTACACTTGATAAAAAAAAGAAGAAAGAAGAAAGAGGAAAACAAGAAAGGCAACAAAGCAACAAACTCAAAGGGGAAACATGTCAGCGCGAAAACACTTAAGCGCTTTAGCCCTCTTTACTCTGCTTACGGCGCAACAAGGGCTGAGCGTCCTCCTCCTCGTCATCATCAGCTTCCTCAGCATCCCTACTTGCGCCCTCAGCCTTCTCCCCAACCAGGCGCTCCTCCCCTTCCGGGCGCTCCTCCTCTTCCTCATCCTCCTCTTCATCCTCATCCCCTGACTCGGAGTCAGACTCCAAGGGCCGCTTCTCGCCAATCCACGTCTGGACGTGTTGAACCATCTCGCGAGTATCCCAGCGGACCTCCAGGTTCTCCGGCCGAACCTTCTTCCCGACCGCGATCACGGCCTTGGTCATGGCGTCCGCCAAAATCTTCCCGAAAGAGGGAGAAGACTTGAACTGGCGAACGGTCGCGAGCTTGCTTCAGCTTCTCAGCATAAGAGGCCTCCAGCTTATCGCGGATGGCTGAGCGCTCCTCAGCCCGCATCTGCTCTTTAGCCGCCTCCACGTCGACGGCCAACTTGCTCTGCAGGACGCCGAGTTCTTCCATCGCCTCGTTGGCTTTGTTCGTGGCCACGTCGGCACGGTTGTTCGCCCCGACGACCTTCCCCTCCAGCTGGACGATCTTAGCCTCGTCAGCCTGTATCCTTGCGCGCTCCTTCTGAGCCCGGAAGGTCGCCGACAAACCCTACAACCACAACGCTAAAAGACTTAGCAAAACATTGCATAAAAAAAACAACAAGAAGAGATGAGACGCGACAACTTCGAACTCCGCTAGAACCCAACCCGATCTTACCGCGAAGTGGATCTGAGCCAAGTCATGAAGGAGATCAGACTTCTCCGCCCGCGGCGGAACACTTAGGACAAACCCGAGCGCCCGGAGTGCGGTATTGGCGGACGCCAGATTGCAAGCCGCCGCGGTGTGAATCTGTACATCGCGGAAGAAGTTGACAGCAGCAGCGCCGGGAGAAGTGGTTGCGGGAGTCCCCCCAAAGCCTGCCATCTCGGGCAGTTTCTGCTGGACGGTGGCACCCGACGAGCTTCCGCCCTTCTCTCTCTCAGACCGAGAAGGCCTACTCACCGTCGCCTTCGGCTCTGAAAGCGCCAGAGATAGCTGCCGCGCGTCAGATAGCGGCCGTTCCGCTTGCGGAGCCTGCGGCTCCCGCGCGCTTGTTTCTGCAAAACGAGCCGCCTTACGGGGCTTTTCAACCGCCAGTGGCTGCTCAGTTTCCTTCCGCTTTGCGCCCCTCGGCGCCGTGCCTTCTTTCTTCTTCTTCTTCTTGTCAGCGTGTGGCGCCTTCACGATGTCGTCCAGCGACATCATGCTAACCAGGCTGGAGAAGTCAACACCTGCGCCAATAAGTCGTAAGAGAGCGGTTAATATGATAGAATGCAAAAGAAAAGAAATTGAACTAACCATCGTTGAACAGCTCCTGCAAACAAGCCTCGCGCACTCCCCCATCGTATAAATTGATCCTATGAGGCATGCACGCCTCATACTCATCGTTCAGCCCATCATAGGCGCCGGCATACGCCTCATACCCGAGCGTACTGCCTTTCTTCCAGACAGTAGGCTCCTCCACAAACTCACTCGCCCACTCTCCGGGAACGGGCTTGACGTAGAAGAAGCGCTCGAACCAAGTTTTCCTTAACTTGGGCGATCCATACACGAAGCCGTCGGGCCTCTTGTCGCGACACTTGATGGAAAGACAATCGCTTCTTCTTGTTGGCTCCTTTATTTTATAGATCTTCCGGAACAGGCCGTAAGTCGGCTCGATGTTAAGCCTTTTGCACGCGAGGCGGAGACAGCTCGCGTGCATGATCACAGATGGGGAGAGCCGCCCAACGGAGCACTTAAGGCGCCTATACAAAGCGCATAAGAGCGGGTCGATGGGGAACTTAAACCCCATCCCCCAATACTCAGTATACACGCCAAACCACCCCGGGGGGCAGTTGCCCACCATGTTTCGCGTAGAGGGAGCGGCGTACTCCCAGTGGGGGGGGGGGGGGGGGGGGGGGGGCAAACCCAATCCGCGGACTATCTCCTCCACACTTGAGATTGTCGTGCGGCGCCGGCTGGTCGCCCCACATCTCTGCCCATTCTATAACATTATACACGGCGCCAACACCGCGTAACCCTAATCGGGCCATGGCTTCTGACACGCGCACAATGTGATGCGCCTCTGATTGTTCTCCGTGCG